GACTAGCTATCCCCCTCTTATTCTGGCATTCTGCAGTTCAGTCCACTGATATGGCCCTTTACACATATAACCATGCATATGTAGTGTAGCTCCTTGCTTGCGAGTACTTTGGATGAGTACTCACGGTTGCTTTTCTCCCTCTTTTCCCCTTTCCCTTCTACCTGGTTGTCGCAACCAGATGCTGGATTCCAGGAGCCAGACGTCACCGTCGACGACGACCCCTACTACACCGGAGGTGCCTACTACTTCGTGCTGCCCGCTGATGACGACCAGGAGTGACCTAGGAGGATCCCAGGCAGGAGGCCTGCTCCTCTTTCGATCTGTATCCCAGTTTGTGCTAGCCATCTTATGGCACCTTGTTTAACTTATGTCTGTACTCAGATATTGTTGCTTCCGCTGACTCGTCTATGATCGAGCACTTGTATTCGAGCCCTCGAGGCCCCTGGCTTGTATTATGATGCTTGTATGACTTATTTTATTTGTAGAGTTGTGTTGTGATATCTTCCCGTGAGTCCCTGATCTTGATCGTACACATTTGTGTGCATGATTAGTGTACGATTGAATCGGGGGCGTCACAAGGATGTTGGATGGATTCTCATGGGATGAAATCCTGGTGCAAGCCTTGTGTTTGGCCGATGGCCGAAGCCGGTGATGGTGACGCCACAGGCGTCGTTTCCTTCCTAAAGGCATCATCGAGCTGAAGCTTGCACCTCCTTCCACTACCTTCGGAGAAAACCCTTGATCAGTCATTCAGATGATGGCGGCGTTCACGTGCCGTTCTCCCATTAGGGGCATTATTCTTGGACGGGTTCATCGGCTAGAGGGGCCATGGACAACTACAGTAGTGGAGCAGCCAGGCATCTGATGCAACGACAACGGCGGGTCTCGGTGGCATGGGGCAGCGGGGTTTGGACGATGGTCGCGTGTTGATAGACGTACGCAGGATGGTGGTGCTATCTGGCGTCGTGGTGGCGTCAACGGCAGTTGGGCTTGGCGAGCCGTATGCATTGATCTCTCCTGAAGATGGGATGGCGGAAGATGGAGGTATCGGATAATTCAGTCTGCGCATGCGTGTGTGGTGAGACTCTGCTACACAGGTTGGTGCTATCGGCTCGTGGCAGCCTGGGGTGGGCACTGGATTAGATGGTGTGCGTGGATGCGCCAGGGCACTCCATGAGCCTTGTAGGTGTAGCGAGTGAGGTCGCCAGGAAGGTGGCTTTGGGTTGATCCATGTATCTACTTTGTCAGACTCTGTTGAATAATTAATATAGATGGATGTGTGCATCGCTCGATGCAGAGGTCGGGGGTAATCCTCCTCTTCGTAAAAGAACAAAAAACATGAAGCTCCTTTTACTTGGATTTCCTTGCTTCCATCTTAATGCTAGTGATTCTCAGTATGCTCTTAGCTTGAGTACTCCAAAATATCAGTTGTGATAATGCTTTGGAGGTTGCTTTTAAATGCAGTTACGATGGACTCCATGTGCCATCTATTTTTTGATTTGTGATCCGTTCCCAGGCCTTGCTTCTTATGGATTTCCCCTTTTCTATGTTTTTGTTTAGCGTGCTTCCCTCTAAAAAGTTTACATCGATCTTATGGTATGCTTCTTGCTTGTAGCTATTTGTTTACTCTAGTAGGACTTCAGTGGTATGTGTACTTCAAATCTCCCGCAACCATTTGTACTATCAATTCCTTGCCCCGTTACTATGTTTCCTTGATAGTAGACCCCTTTCATTCGGCCCCACCTAGTACTGCATTGATTTGCACATGGCTTTCTGGGCTTAGTGGCCGGAACTGACATTAGTAATTTATGTACATTTTTGTAATGTTTGTCTCACTTGGTTATTTCTGTTATCATAAGAAAACGTATACTTTTCACCGCAAAATGTATCCTAGATGAGCAATAACCCCCTCAAGTGATATGTTGTCTAATTTGCACCTTCCAAATCCTGGTTGAACGTGCCTTTTGATGGTTCTCGAGCTAATCTGCATAGATTTGGTGCCCACTACGTGTGAGGTCCAGTTGGGGTGGAAGTTGGAATACCTTCCTGTGTTATTTATTTTCATGTCCAATTTGGTTGTTCGTGTATGTTACCAAATAATTTTATATGTTTTTTGGTTTGTGTATGAGGCCTTAAATGCAATCAGCCTTTTTGTATGCAGAAATATTTTGGGTACTCTAGGGTGATAGAAATCCTAGAAGTGTTTTCTTTGGTTTGTTATGTATGAGGCTTGTTTGGGTGTATGTCATGTTGTAGGGGCAGGAAAAATGGTGACGCATATAGGTTGTTATCTGGGCAACTTAATGGGAACAAAATCCCACATTCTCAACAAGAACCTCTGCTTTTCTCTTGTCATGGTTCAGCTTAAAAGTTCAATGACAGTGCTGATGCATCACATTCGCCAAATGCTAGCTATGACATTCGACGAAGTTCTAAACGAAAGACAGCCATCTGTTCAGTAGGTAATCCCTAAGATTTTCGTTCTATCCATGTATATTATCTTAGATTTTGACGCTAGTAAAAGTGTACAGTTGTGGCCGCTAATTTTTTCATGCAAATATGGTCTTATAAAAATTTAAATGATAGTATCATGATAGAAACCTATGAAAATAACAACACTAATTTTACTTCGCTAATCTACATATTTCTAAACTTAAGCATTTATGTCTTGTACGAAAATTTGTCTGCTCTTTATCCACTGGTCATCACTAAAGATATCATAGTTGGATTTCTCAGTTGCAGTAGTGTTTTCTTAGAATGAAAACATAATATTCAAATAAGCATATAAAGAAGTTATGCGCCTATAGTTCATTTTTTTCTATTCATATTGGTTATTCTCTTTTAATCACCATTCCTTATCTGCTTGTCAATGGCTAATCAAAGAAAAAAAACACCTCGTATGCTTCTTTCAATTTCCAGAGAACCATCAATGAAGAACAAAATATAATTACTGATTGCGTGCATATAATCCTTATATTCTATTCGTCCACCTTCATTGATGTTGGTGGTACTGCAATTACGTTGTTCCATTAGTTCAATGGCATGCATGTAGATGATGATGTGCATGCATACTTATCTTCCTATATATTCATATGTCACCTATCCATCTAATGGAATGTGTTCTCTTGTTCATACTCATCTAAATTGCTAGATATTTTATCTCAGCCAGCCAAAGCATAACTTGTGTTTTCGTTATTCTCCCATCCATGTTATTTGCGGAGACTTATGTTGTTACACTGAAAATTCCCTCCATCGGTACGTATTAAATGTTATGAATGGAATCACAATCGATCTATCTCTCATCTCCTCACATAAGTAAGATTGAATTCAAAGTGTGAGACTATTCCAACCATCAATCTCAAATCTCTCTAATACCACTATGCATGTTGACTGTGGACAGCGATGCACATAGTGGTGTGAAC